GTCGGACACGTGCGCCCCACGACAGGCCACGTCCTGTTTCCTAGCCTGATGTCTTACAGGTCACGCCCACTATACCTGCGCTAACCAACCACCTTTTATAGCAAAAACCAGCTGAGGAAAAGAAAAACATAACAAAGTAAATGTTACCATGTGTTGCTAATAGATAGAAAAGTCCAGTTCTTGATGCCATTGGCTATACGACAACTTGAGTTGCTTTGATTTCATTGGCTCTCCCTTTTCTCTCTTTCTCTTTGCGTCCTCATGTATTCATTGCTGTTGGTTGACAGATGAATCAATACTCGTGACATGTCCCAATACGGGACAGACGGATGGGTTTCCCATGGGCAATGGCGAATTATCTGTTTATGGACTTTTTGCAGTGTCTGAGCCCTCTGCAGCTCAATAAGTGTAGCCCCACGAGATACAAACAGTGCCATGACATGAACAAGCCCCTACAGTTCTTCCAAGCAATGTAACTAACCAGTCGGATGCATGCAAAACAGACCAGGGCAAGGAAGGACATGAAACAGACTGTGTGTGAGATTTCAAAGTATAAATGTCAAAATTAACTTAACATCTCCCCTTATTCTCGCCATCCTTAACTGGCCTTTTTGACCTGCCTCTTTCGTGTTTCCCTCTCGTTTACTACGTCTCCCTCTCCTCCATGTCTGTTTCTTTCCTTTACCTCTATCTCTGTTGTGTTGCCATCTGAAAACATAGGAGGCGTCTCAACCAGTGGGATTATTCTACATCTAGGTGTTCATTAACCATGTTTATTTTCTATATGTACAATTTTTCTACAGTATTTACTTTTATTTTTATTGTTACGGTTCTTTGATGAACATAAAGTGGAAATTTATTATGAAAAATAGTTTTGAAGATTAATGAGTAAATAAAATATTACCCAAGTGAGCTTTTTGCGTGTTTGTTTTTCACTTCCCATCTGCCTGCGGACATCATTAAAGCGCCTATTATCGCATCCCCCCCTCAGCTATGATGATATCGGATGACTGCCTAATTAACACAAGTCAAAAGGTAGCAGGGAATCAGAGGGCAGATCTTAGAGGAATAGTTCCCAATAAAAAGAAGATTGATGTCAGGCATGTCTTTTAGTTCCAGCAAACCTTATTTAATGGACATAAGAGACTGTCATCAGTCTTCTCGTGTAACAAGTACAGAAATGAAGGGTATTTCTGTAAATTCAGAGACCATAAGTTGCACATCTATCCACATTCTGTTTTATCCTTTCAACTTTTGTTTCATCAAATTAAGAAAAGAAAGCAGCTCTTCCATTCCAGGTCCCACGCCATTTTACTGGGACGGCACAAAAATACCCCACTGCACATACTAAACAGGGCTTTGAAGTACAACTCTGTGCTGTAAACGCAAAGTCTCTGCAGAGTTGTTGTTTGCCGGATGAAAGATCCCTGAGACTGCAGAGCTGAGCTTGCATCCTCAGGTGAAACATACAAAGAGCTGCTATTTCAATAAACACCTCCCCAGTTGCATTATCTTGTTCTCTCGCTGTTTCTCTTGCTTTCTTTTTGTCTTTGCAGAACAGTCTGTGCTCAACAAAAGGCTTGTGTTAGGTTGTAGCCATCTGCTGCTTTGCTGTCCTTGGCCACAGACAGCTAGGACAAAGATAAAGACAGAGCCCTGCTATATTTATGGAGTGAATACAAAATAACTCTGTTTCTCGACGGTGTACAATAATCTGATTGTACAACACACAATCAGATTATTAGTATTAGCAGCAGATAATCTGAATTCTTTAAACAGGTTGTGTCACTGAGATTGAGATCTGTTTTTCAAGTAAGATGACACACAGATAGATTGTACATGTTCAGAAATGCAAAAAAGCATGTGCAAGAGTGACTGGAGATTCATAAATATAACCTTTTAACAAATGTTGCAGTGAAACAGGAAAATGTAGCTTTGTATTGTTTGTAGCTTATTATTATGACAATGTTAGAATCCATTTTTTTTTTCAGCTTCAGTGTGAATAAGAAACACAGTTAATGACAAGTATTACATTATTATATTAGTATTACAAAAAAAAAAAAAAAAAACAGGCAATCTTGCAGTAGTGCAACCCTGTAAGTAAAAGTACAAACAATACAGTGTAAAAAAAAATACTCACTACTTCACTAGGAAAAAGATGCATTTATTTATTTATTTATTTATTTAAGGTTAAATTTAATTTATGTGACTCCAGCTAAATATTTTTGATGTTTATTGTTTTTGCTGAATATTTTTCTAAATGTGCAAATCTAGGGACTTATTATATGGAAAAAAATAAAAACATGAAAAATGAGTATATGATTGTATATACTCGAGTATATAATTATGTGCCATTTAAGTCTTATTTGCAAAAAAGGATCAGAAGTTTGCTTCCTTAACACATTTTTTTTAATAAAATGTTTGTGTTTGTATGTTTGAAGTAACTTGTACCTTTACAGTATTGTGCAAAAGTCTTTTCACCTCTCATTGCTTTATATTTTTTTCCAAGAGCCAGACTTTCTTGTATTTTGAAGTGGTCTGCTCAAGTTCTTCTGGTTTTCCGTGGGTATTTTTGGGGGGACATTGACAGTGTTTTCATTCATTTTCAGTCCAGTCCTTGCACCTGGCTATTTTCAGAGGAATGTTTTGTGTTTGTTAAGCCACTTCACACTGACCTATTAATCATTCAAGCATAGAAAAGGACACTTGATTCAAGGTATGAACCAGTGTTGTGTCTACACATAACAGACAACTTAGCAAAAAAATCAATTTTAAGCACTTTGCTACTAGCAGCCTTTTACAAACACATGTTCCCAGTTTTTAGCTGAATCTGTTAAAAAATGCCAAAGATAGCGTACAGTTTGACAGGCATAAAACAGGATTTTTGCACCAAGAAAGTGATTCCCAAAAATCTACTGGATGAAAACTTGAAAACTTTTATCTCAGCAGTTTGTTTCAATATATCTCAGTTGTTCAAGTGGGTCCTTAAAAATGTGAAGAAGCTGGACAAGTGGAGGACTAAAGAAGTAGTTGCAGGCCTATAAAACTGTCTACAGCAGACGAACATTCATGTCGTTAAGAAATATGACAGACCTGAGAGAGATGCATCTGGCGCTTCAGCTGATCCATCTATGGCATCAAAATCTCATCAGAAATGGTCTCAGTGGAAAGGTGGTTGCTTAACTACACAAGAAATGGACTAAAAACCAGTGGTAACAGGGATCATGGAGTGATGAATCAACTTGTTATCAGTATGTACGGAGGAGGTCAGGAGAGACATACAGCATTTAATGTCTACAGTCACCTGTAAAACATTGTGAAGGCTCTGCCACTGTTTGGGGCTGCATTTCACCCAGTGGGGTTGGAGGTCTTGTTAAAATTGATAGAATTATGAGTGCCGAAAAGGGCTGGTGTGTTTGTGGTGCCGACCCAATAGCTGATATGGAAGAGACTAAAACTAAGGCGAGCCATTTATTTGGCTGAACAAGAAACAAGAACAAGAATACGAAAAAAGGCACAGTGAACCGGGGCGAAAACTCTAACCTAAACTGGGAAAAACAAAACTATGAGACATGAACATAAGATACCTGAAAACCTGACATGAAGGAAGGAAAACAGACACACCAACACTTTATTTTACTTAA